CCCCCCGGTATCTTGACACCTCCCTTGTGGTCCTTGCTTGCTAATCTGCTTGGCCTTCTTGGGCACCCTGGGCAGTTTCACATAGTTTTGAGTGGAAGGACAGAGGGAAGAACTCAGAAAAGGCTGACACTGATTCTGGAGTAATCTCCAGTAGTAAAGTTCTCCACAGGCAACAAGATCTATCCTCCAGTCTCCATACTTAACAAATACTGAACACCTTTGCTTGAAGCAATATGGGAGTTATTAATTTTAGTGGGTCTTCAAGGGCCAAAGCAACAGGTAGTCTCTCCTGCCATGCATCAGTTAAGTCAGGTTCCCTATGGAAACCTTCTGACTGGGGTAAGAAAGGGCCACCACCAGTATAGCTGACACTGATCTGGTAGAAGGAAGTATAATCAAATGTTGCATTTACAGCAGTTAGGAGAATTCCTTAGGTCATTTCTTACGTCAACAGCCAGACAACATGACTGACATCTCAAATGGTTTTTCCTTTGTGATAGGAGAAAAGCTAGAGAGAGATGATCACTTACATCTAAAGCCGGCCTCTCTTTTACATGTGTGAAAAAGAGTTGTGTTTAAGCTTATTCTTTCCATTTGTTCCTAAACTTCACCCATGCCAGTTCTTTCCTGAAGTATTTCTCCAGCTGCCTGTACTCACAAGTATCTTCCTCTATCACTGCAGGTCTCAAATTTCTCTAAGGATCTAAAGTTGCAGAGAGCTCTCATTATACCCTTAGTATAATATACATGCCCATCCCTTTCTAAGTGGGCTTCTGGGTAGCAACCAGACTGTTAGTCTAATTCTTTTTACAAAGGCAAAGACGTGTGACAATATCATACAAGAAGCACCATATCACACGAGGAGCACCCTACCTCTTTCAGTTCAGTCTTTTCTCCAACAAAACATAAACGCATTATTTGGTCAAATGTATACAGAGGCCACACTGTACTGTCTCACTGATGGAGGAAAACACCTGGGTGCAATCACACTATCCTTCTAACTAGTGGCAAATTAGCAGAGCAGTGTTACTAATGGCAATTGTCTAATGCCATTTAGCTATAACTAGCCAAAACTGTTTCCCTGGACAAGCAGCTGACTACTTTCTACAGTGTTGAGTTGGGCTCAGCTTGTCTATCTGTGGGATGCCTTAAGGGGTTCCTTTTTCTCAACTAGGGGTAGGGGGACACTGCACCAGTGTCTTAAGGTGAACTGTCAACTATCCAGCTCTTGCCAAAGACTCCCTGGAAGCTCCTTAAGTGTATGTTGAAAATATCTCACATTGAACAGACAGTTTTGTCTGTATCCACTGCAACATGGCGCTCCCTCTGGGGCCCATTAACATGGGGCCATAACTGGCTCTTGAGGACACAGTTGAGCAATGTGTTTTGAATCAAACCTCAGGGAAGGCAGTTTGGTTCTGCTGCTGTTCCAGCCTCAATAGCTCTCTTGGGATCAAGCACTGAGTTGAGATGTCTCTAAATTAGTAAGGAGCTTAGCATCCTAAACTGGCTCCAGCCCCTATGGCCACTGATCTAAACTGTTCTGGCCATTTTGCCATCTAGATCCCTTTCAACTGGTATTTCTTCTACATTGAGAATTTTTTCATTGAGATCCATTAAAAAAAAAAAA